TGGAGCAGGAGATCAACAACAGCGAGCGCAGGGCCCAGGTAAAAGCAGTTCAGCTAGTTACTGACACCGTGGATGCAAGGGTTTTGACAGACCCTCAGACATCGCCTGAGGAGCTGGAAAAATGGATTCGGGATGGCCTGCAACCGGAGCTGGCAAAGCTGCGGGAGAAGGACATCTTCGAAGAGATGCCTGTGTCACAGGTGCCGTCTGGTGCAAAAATCCTGCCCGCCAAAGTTGTGCTGACAAAGAAACCCCAGGATCCGGGTAGTGTGGATGCTGGGGATCCTCTGTCGGAGTGGCGAGCCAAGGCCCGCGTTGTGGCTTGTGGCAACCATGAGCAAGGGACGTTTGGGCATGATCCGGAGAACACCTCGACGAATCCTTCGATCGAGGCCATACGCTGGAGCGCTTCTTGTCTGGCGCGGAACCCCGACTGGACGGGTTTAGTGCTGGATGTTACTGCTGCATTTCTCAACGCGGAGATGGACGACGAACAGACCTTCGTGAGACCTCCTGGAGTTTTGTCCAGAGTGGGGTTGCAGGAAGAAGGGAAAGTTTGGCGCTTGAGGAAAGTGTTATATGGTTTGCGGAAAGGGCCCCGGCTGTGGGAGGCCTGTAGGAATGGAGAGCTGAACGGCAAACGCTTTGGTGTGGCTGGCCACGAATATTGGTTGGATCCCCTGGACTCTGGTGTGTGGGCAGTTCGTGATGCCGTGGATTCGGGAAGCTTCCATGGCATTTTCGATATGTACGTAGATGATGGGTTGATTGTTGGACCCATTGGTATGTGCAGGGCCCTGGCGGAGATGCTGGTAACATTGTGGGAACTCAAACTTCAGGGTTTTCTGGAGTGCAACGAGCTGCAATGTGGGCAAACAGTACAAGTTGGGGACACAGCGGTCAAGGTACAGAGCGAAGTTCCTTTTCTTGGGATGGTTATTCGCCGGAGCCATGAGGGTGTATGGTTACATCAGAATCCATGGGTGCAGTCAGAGCTAGCCAAGAGAGGCTGGGAGTGCATGCGTGGGTCTATGTCATTGCCTGAGATCATAGAAGGGCAAACAGAGCCTGTGGTTCGAGATGAAGCCTATGGCGCCGACCTCCTCCAGGCCCAGTCACAGGTGGGTTCGCTGTTTTGGCTAGGGTTGAGAACACGCCCAGACATCCTGGCGACAGTGGGGGCGTTGTCGTGTATGTCTACAGTAGACCCTCGCAAAACTGTAAAACTTGCTGCGGCCTGTTGGAAGTATGTTGCTGGCACTCGTGATTTTGCACTTTTCTATGAGGCGATAGGGACTGGGCTACAAGATATTTTGCATTTGTATGGCGATGCTTCTTTGGCACCCGGGGCCTCGAGATCGCGAACGGGCAGCATAGTACAGTATGGGCCACACACAATAGCCTTCAAGACTCAGCGACAATCCCTCACAGCTTTTAGCGCTTTTGAGGCAGAAGTCGAGGCGAGTGCGACGACGTACCAGGTTGGTTCTAAGTTGCGAGAATTTATTCAGGCAGCACTGGGATACAAACTGCAGACGATCCTGTACGGAGATAACTCTGCGTGCATTGGGAACCTGATGCGGGGCTCTGAGTACGTGCAGCCGGCTCGAACTAGGCACTTTGGGATGCGCTGTGCTTATCTGAGGGACCACCTGAAGGCAGACAACATTCAGGTTCAGCA